ACCCGTGCCCAGCGCTGCCTCGGTTCCTGCGCTTGCAGCAGGAACAACAGCAGCTGGCGCAGGTTCTGACGCGCCGGCAGGTAATGCAAATGCAACATCGGCGCGGCTGTCATCCTCCTGGCCTCCATCGCTGCCACCGCTGCCACCGTTGGCGCGATGCTGCGGCATCGCCACGAATTCCGCCAGGCTGCAGCGGTGCAGGTCCTCCTCCTCGTCTGCTGGCTTCGCCAGACTCAGGTCCAGCTTGCGGCGCTGCTGTTGCGCCGCCTCGGCTGCTGCTGCCTCGCTGGGGAACGGGCCTACACGCCAATCCCGCTGCGCCTCCTGGGGGTGCAACTCGCCCAGCGCGGCCCACTCGCCCTCCTCCAGCACCACCTCGACCTGCGCTTGATCCATACCGAAATAGATTTGCAAAAAATGGGCAATGACCGCCGATTTGTTGGAGCGCTGCATTCGCCCATGCAACAACCCTGCGGCTCAGACCGCGCCCGGGTGGCGGCGGGTCGCCAGGTGTGCCATTTGCGATGGGCCTACACAAGTCGTGATTGCAACACTGGCATTCATTCTGTACAGCACACTATCTGGGAGCTGGAAAACTCAGACAGTACATGACAATAGGCAATGCATGAACAAGGGGGCAAGCAAAGACAGCCCGTGCTGCCCTACGCGCCGCAACCGGAGACTCTTGGGGCCGGCTCGGAGCCACGATTCAATCAACCTTAACAGCTGTGTCCGGCTCAGCAGGCCGCTCCTGCTGGGTGTATCCTGCTGTGCAAAAATACAGCAAAAAGCATACCGCATAAACTGCTTCCTGCCATTCCTCCCTAGCCGATAGGGCCGGGCCCGGGCGCGGCAGACGCTGCCTTCATGAGCGCGGCCGCCGCCGGCCACATGGCGGGCTCTGCAAGCAGCAGACTGAGCATCTCGGCCTGCTCCTGCTCCCGCTCCTGCTGGGCCCGCTGCGACTCAGCCAGCGCCCGCTGCTGCGCCACCAGCGCCTCGTGGCGAGCCTGCTCCGCCTGCAGCTGCCGCGAGATGTATGTGCCGATCAGGCGCGGCGTGAGGCCGCCCGCCGCCGCCCCGGGCTGGCGAGCAGCGGCGGTCAGCTGCTGCAGCAGCTGCAGGTGGCGGTGGGAGAGGCTGGAGCTGCCCGCAGCCGCAGCCGCAGCTGGCTCCGGGGCGGTGGCATCAGAGCCCAGCCCGCGGGCATGGGTGGCTGCCAATGGCTCCTCTGTTGCAATGCCGCCATCACCATTTGCCGCCTTGTGCTGGGCTGGGCTGGTGGGAGGGCCGCGCCGTGCGCGCTTGGCAGCAGGCGCGGCAGCCTCCTCGCCACGCTGCTGCTCTCGCCGCGCGGAGCCAGCCTGCGGCGGCGCCTCTGGATGCGCCCACCTGCGCCCGCCGCCTGCTGCGCTGTCGCAGCCCTGGCGCCCAGGGGCTCTCGGCTCCAGTCGGCCGCCACGCGCCGCGGGCTGCTCCAGCTGCTGCGCCAGCTGCCGCAGCTTGCTGCTGTCGCGCAGCTGCTTGAAGAGATCCTTGATCTGCTCCCGGCTGACAGCCTGGCTCAGCTGCTGCATCAGCGCAGCATCAGCCCTGTACCTGCGGCCAGGCAGGGCAGGCGCATGCATGAAGCCACGGCGCTGCATCGACGGGCCGCCGCTCAAAGGGCAGCAGTGGCTGCTGGGGCGGGCGGGGCAGGCTAGCCTGTGCTGTGCAAGTGGCGTGGTGGCTGCGCCAGTGCTCGGGCAACGGCATGCGCACCTATCGGCCGGGTGGCTGAGTGGGAGGGAGCGCGCCTTGCCCAGCTCCGTCTCCAGACCCCGCAGGCCCTTCCACACCAATCCCAGGTCACGCAGCACGCATGCCTCGCCAGCGTGGCGCAGGTACAGAGCGGTACGCGCCCGGTTGGATGGGACGCGCTCTTGGGTACCCTCATCCTGGCGTGGTACCGCAGGCTGCCATCCGCTGTCTCCTTCACGTCGATCCCAGGCGGCGCATCGGTCCCAGGGCCGCGCGCGCCGCGTGCCGCCGGCGCAGCGGCTGCCGAGGGCAGCGCCCGCTTCGCCGGCGCCTGCTCCTGCGCAGGCTCCCCCTCCGCCGCCTCGACCTTGACACGGCGCTGCCCCGCTGCAGCCCTGGGCGAGGCGCCCGCGGCGGCAGGCTGAGGCGGGTCGTGACGCCTGCTGCTCCTGCGCCCGCGCGCGGCCACCGCCGCCGCCTCCTCCTCCTGCTGCAGCCTGAGGGCCAGCAGCTCGTCGCCCGAGGTATCCAGGCCGGCTGGCACGACTGCTGAGGCGACCCCAGAGCCGCCAGGGCCCAGCGCCTCGGCCGCAGCCGAGCCGTGCACGCCAGCAGTGCTGCCGCCGCCGCTGCCGCCTTCGTCGGCGCCACTGCGGGCCTGCCCCGTGCCGGCCTTGTCGCCTGGGTCAACCACATACTCCTGCAGCAGCTGCACCAGCTCCGCCAGGCTGCAGTGCTGCAGGTCCTCTTGCTCATCCGCTGATCCATAGCCGCTGGCATCAGCGGCGGCCTCGTCTTCAGCACCGGGTGCCCAGCTGCCGGCGCCGGCGCACCCGAGCTTGCGCCGCAGCAGCTGCGCTGCCTCGGCGGCTGCCTCGTGGCTGGGGAAGGGCCCCACGCGCCACTCCCGTTGCTGGTGCTCAGGCTGCTGCTCCTGCTCGGGCTGCTCCCCCGCGTCTGCCTCCACCACCCACAGCCCGCCCTGCTGCACCACCTCCACCCTGGGCTGCTGCATTGTGCCCTTGGAGCGTGCTTTAGGTGAAACGCAGAGGCAGTGAGCCTGGACTCAGCCTTGGAACCCCCAAGAAAAGCTCCAATGCCTACTGTCAAATGACACGCCCAGAGCAAAGGCAAGCCATCAGTTTACACGTACTAGCTGTTCAGCTGCTAACGAGGGCTGCAGGCACGCCGCCGCGTGCTGGCGGCGGCGGCGGGCGCCGGCTGCCCGCTCCCAGGCGCCGCCGCCTCAGAGCGCGATCGTGTACTCGAACTCCTTCTTCTCCGACTTGCCGTCCTCCTTGGCCTCGATCTTCACACCAGGCAGGCGGCGCGGACATAGCGTCACGCCCGCGCACTGCGCCAGGTCGGCCGCCTACCGCCGCTGCTCATGCCAGCTCTCTCTCTCTCTCTCTCTCTCTCTCTCTCTCTCTCTCTCTCTCTCTCTCTCTCTCTCTCTCTCTCTCTCTCTCCCCGACCCACCCCCTCCCCCCTCGCTCCACCGCATATCATATATCTCCGTTGCAACCCACCTCCACTTCCAGCTCGATGGACTTGCCGTCGTCCTCCAGCTTGCCCTGCGGAAGAGGATGGGGGACGAGCTTCACGGTGAGACTGCCCCTGAAACCGACGGCATGGGAGCAACAAAGCACAAGCGCGACGATAAAACCAGAAGGTATGAGACACATGCAGCTGAGGAGCATGCGTGGGCAGCCCGGCACAAAGCCAGGTGATTGGCGGCGGCGCCAAGCCGCCGCCGCCACCCGCCGCCGCCGCCGTACTGCAGAGAACCTGCCCTCACCTCGATTTCGATCTCGATGGATACCTGCCGGGAGCAGAGAGTGTGCTCAGTTGCTAGAAGCGAGAGCGCGAGGGGAAATTCACTCAGGTTTCGCAAAAGGTTTATTCCCCTCCCGCGTCAGAAGGGTTCGCAAGCTTGGAAAACCGAAATTGACACAAGCAGAACACGGACCTTCTTGTTGTCGCCGCTCTTGATTGCGTCGATGATCATTTGGACGAGGTTTGCCACAGTGCCATCCAGCACCTCGGAACACTGCAGCTTCGTGTAGCCCGGCAGAGACATGGTGGCAGCGTGAGTCGAGACAGCGCTCCCGCGACCCCCTGGCCTGTATTGCTCCCATTCTGCCGCCCGCCGCCCAGCGCACCCAGCGTGGGCGCAGGCGCCGGGGGACTGCTCCATTTACTTGCAGCCTTGAACAGCAACATCGCATTCTGTGCCTGAAACTGGCTACGCAGACTAACGGCATGATGCAGCAGGCTGATTGGGATGAGCACAACGCTGAAAGCACAGACTGTTGAAAGCTGTTTCAGGGAAGGCGCGCTTCTTGCATGCAGAGGCATGTGGCGCTTGGTCTGGCCAGGCCTGATCACTGGCCAGGGCCGGGCGCCGCGCCCCGCATGATGGTTGCCACCGCCGCCCACATGCCCTTCTGGGCCAGCAGGCGCAGCATGGCCTCCCGCTCCCACTCCCGCTCCCGCTCCTGGCTGAGGAAGAAGCTGCCAATGAGTTCCTGTGCTGGGCCAGACAGCAGCTTCAAGCTGCCATCCCTGGCTGCCCGGCAGCAGCCGCCAGCTGCTCCAGTAGCCTCAGGTGCTGCCTGCCTGGCAGGCGGCACCGGCCATTGCTGCGTTGGCAGTGCTTGGGGCAGCGGCGGGTTCGACGCCTGCACCACGTGCCGCTGGGGTCGTCAAGACAGCTCGCAGGGCCGCTGCCTTGGCCACCGATGGCCCAGCGGCAGCAGCGGCCGCTGTATTGGTAGCAGCAGCAGGGCTGGCCTGTCCAGCTGGCGCACCCGCTGGCGAGCGTGCCTGCGCCCGCTGCTGCTGAGGCTGCTCCTGCTCAGGCTGCTCCCCCAGCTCGAACTCTACCATCTATGATGAGCCGGTGCCCGCAGGACGGCAACATCCACCCTGCTCTGCTGCATGCCCATGGCATCAGAGGAGGCAGCGTCCCTACATGCGACTCCATCACTGCAGATTCTAAATACAAGTGATCGGTGGAGGCAAAGGCTATCGTGCAATCTTGCACTGAAGAACTGCTTGCCTCGGCGAGTGAGGCAGAAACAAAACCCCCACACCACCGCGGCGGCGGCCCTGCCGCTAGTAACACAAAGATAGGCAGGCGTGCCGATAAGCAAAACATTGGAGAGTGATTCACTGAGTAGAGTGGTACCAGCACAAACAACAAACAGGTTCTCGGAAGGGCTGCAGCGGCGTTTCAAGGCGCCGCAGCTCAGTCCAGCTCAGTCCATGGCCTTTATGAGGATGCCCACCTTGCCGCGCGCCCGCCCCTGCTCCAAATACTCGTGCGCCTGGGCCAGCTCCTCCAGCGGGAACACCCTGCAGCAGGGCGCGGCTGCCGGCATCACAGCAGCGCACCTCGCAGCTCGAAAAGGCGCGGCGCAGAACAGCCGGGCTAGCAGGTGGCATCGCAGCAGCGCTACGCTGCGCTGCGCTGCGCCCCACGGCAGGCAAGGTGCGCGCCGCCACCGACAGCTTGCGCCACCAGTGCCAGTGCATCGCTCACCGGTCCAGGTGCACCTTGAACTTGCCCTCCCTCATCAGCTCCGCAATCTGCTCCAGTCCTCTAGATGCCTTGCTTTCAGTCATGACGCTGCAGCGGCAGGGCTGGCGCCAGGCGGCACGTGAGATGCAGGGCGGCGCCAGGCAGCCAGCAGGCGCAGGCTGCGCCGCTATCCGCGGGGCGTGCGCCCACTGCCGCAGCCGGCAGGAGCCATGCCATGCCGACGAGCTTGCCACGACTGGCAGGCACTGGCAGCAGGGGAGCAGGAGGAGGCGCGCAGCTGCACGGCGGCACGGCGGCGGCGGGCGCTCACAAGTGGTACTTGGGCGCCAGCCCCAGGCGCCCCATCAGCGTGCGCCAGCCCGCGTTGAACAGCAGCGCGGCCATGCCCAGCAGGGAGACGCGGGCCACGTCGGGGCCGGTGGCGCCCACGCCCGCCAGCTGGCCGCCGCGCTTGACCAGGCGCAGGCTGGCTGCCTCGTAGCTGCCGCCGATGGTGTCCAGGACGAAGTCGTACCGCTCCCCGCCCAGCGACTCCCGCGCAGCCGCCTCCCAGGGGCCCTGCAGCATGCGGCGCGGTGGACCCGAGGCAGCGACGTGGCAAGGCTGTGGTACCAGTGCCAGTACAGTGGCGGTTCCAAGGCTGCACAGCGGCAGCAGTGGCAGGCGGCCTGGCCAGGCCGGCGAGCAGGCACGGACAGAGCTGCATGTCGTGGACCACACGCGCACTGAGTTCCTGCCACTCTGGCTGGTGCTGGGCCGGACACTATGGCTGCTGGCAGGGGCTGCAGGGGCCGCAGGGGCTCACCTTTGTGTAATCGATCACCACGTCCGCCCCCAGCTTCTTGCTCACATAATCCACCTTGGCGCTGGAGCAGGTGGTGGTGACGTGCGCGCCGTGTGCCTTGGCGATCTGCAAGCGCCGGGGGGGCAAAGGAGCTTGCTGGAGTGAATGGCGCGGCCCGCAAGCGCCCATTAGCTTGCGGCGCTGACTGCAGGCGCGCAGGCGCGCCGGGCAGACGCAATCCAAGACCGGCATGGGGCAAGGCAGGGCGGGCGCCGCTAGCTTCCATCCGCAGAGGCCCCCTCCCCGCCTGCCTGCCCGCCCCGCTGCTTCAACTCCCTCAGCCACCTGTATGGCAAAGCCGCCCACGCCGCCGGCGCCGCCGTGGATGAGCACGCGCTTGCCCTCCAGGGGGAACACCCGCTCCAGCGCCTGCCAGGCGGTCAGCCCCGCCACCGGCACCGCGGCAGCTTCCAGGAAGCTGACCCCCTCTGGGATGAGGCACACCGTGTGCTCGTCCGCCGCCACAAACTCGCCGTCGGTGCCTGCATGCACGGGGCAGGGGCAGGGAGGGTGGCTGGCTGGGCGGCTGGACGAGCGCCCAAGAGGCGGCAGCAGCTGTTGCCCGCGGGTGGCTCCTGCCTGCCTGCCCGCCTGCTGCTTGGGCCCCCTGCCCCACGCACCTCCCTGGTCTCCCGACTTGAAGAACTGGTCTGTGCCCGCAAACACCCGGTCGCCCTCCTTGAACTGCAGCAGCCAGATGGGTGGCTCCGGCATGAGGCCTCCCAAGCGCAAGGCCGAGGCGGTAGCTATTGCCTGCAGCCGCTCGTGTACTGCGGCTGGCTGTCCACACCACACTGTTGGCTGAGGGTTCTCCCATCGCCTGCCAGGCAGCAGCCCAAGCCACTGGTCAGCAGGTGGATGCAGGTGGGCGCACCTTGCTGCCCTCTGGTGCCTCCACCACCACGCCCGCCAGGTCCTCCCCCAGAATTTTGGGCAGCTTGACGGGGATGGGCGCAAAGCCCTGCACGGGTGGGGGGCAGGGCAGGGAACGGGGGCGATGAGAGCAGGGGGGATGGAGCTTTGCGGGCAGTCTGTGCGCTATAAGCGACAGCAGGTGCCGGAGCAGCAGCCTCACCGAGCGTATCTTCCTGGGAAAGGCGAGGTGAACATGCGTGCAAGGGCGAGAATGGGGGAGTGAGCGAGGAGCGGCGGCAACACTGTTGGCAACATGGCGGCGGCGGCGCCAGCGGGGCGGCGGGCTATGTGGCAGGATTCGCAGCCCCAGCGCCGCGCTCACCACTCTCCGGCGTTCATGGACGTGGCCGCCGCCTCCACCAGCACTTGGTTAGGCTGGCGAACAGGGCGGGGCCAGTCTGTGTGCAACACGAGCGCCTCCTGGGCGGGGCCCTTTTTTTCCATTACTACCGCTCTCATCGTGGGAGCCATTGCGCCCGATCGATCGGCGGCAGCAACGGTGAGTGTGCCGGTGCCCAACTCAACTCAGCCAAAACTGGCAAACGAGTGGATGGAACCCCAGCGAGCCCGCCCCAGCATTTCGCCATTGCTCCCTAATACCTAACCGGTCACCTGATCATTTTCTCGCTTTCCTAACCTTCCCCTTGCAGCTTCCCCGCAGCATCACTCTTGCAAGGGAAGAAAGTCAAGGATACAACATTCACTGTGGATTTTGATTGATTTAAAAGTTGGGGGGTCGACCCTGATTGGTGGGGGGCCTGATGCTATGCAAATAGCTAATCCCCACTGTGCAGCACGCCCTGACAACGAACGTTTTCGCCCAGCACTTTCGATCATCAATGCCGCCACCACCTTGAGAGCCGCAGCTCCGCAAGCGCAATCCGCCATAAGGTCGCTGGCATCACTCAGGCAGGGCCGCCCCTTGCGCTCCCAGCTGGCAGGCGGCAGCGGTTAGCTATACATGAAAGGCTGGCAGCTGCAGCCGGCTGCCTCGCCTCTAGCTGCTGGGCACATGCCAGCATGCCAGCTGAGGGCAGGTGTGGCGCGGCGCCGAGCCGGCTCTGATCTCCGCCTCCGCCACTATGTCAGCTGCCTGCCTCCTCCTCCTCGGCTGAGCTCTCCTCAAACATGGCATCAATGGTCTGCTGCTCCTGCTGACAGCGCTCTCCGCCCCGCTCGTGCCGCTTCTGCCACCGCTGGTTGGGCACCGCCTGATGCGCCTGCTGCTCGCCGCCTAGCTCCGGCTGTGTGTGTGCAGTGGCTGATGGCGCAGCAGGCACGTCAGCCGCAGTAACCTCGTTGGCTGCTGAAGAATCCCCGGGAGAAAGGCGTGGCCGCTTGGCAGGGCCGCTGGCGCAGCCAGCCCCATGGGCCACATTGGAAGGGCCGGCGTCGGCTGCCGCTTCTGTGGCAGCATCCTCCTGCTGAGCCGGCTGCTCCGGCTGGCCCTCCGCCAGCTGCTTCAGCCTGCCGCTGTTTCGCAGCTGCTTGGCAAGCGCCTGCAGCTCTTTCAGTTTCGCCAGTCCCTCAATCTGCTGCACCAGCTCTGTATCCGCCCCGTACCTGCAAGCAGGCAGGCAGCACCAAAGTATCAGGAGGAGATGAGGGAGAGCGGCAGGGCAGAAATCAAGGGCAAGAGGCGGGAGCTGCGCTGGCAAGGCAGCCATGTCAAAAGGGAGCAGGCAGCCACTGGCGCATCGGCAGGCGCATGAGGCCGCAGGGCGCAGCCCACCTGGCTAAGGCCTGCCGGACGACACTCCTTGAGGCCCTGGCTGGCTGCAGGCTCTTCTTGCTCCGCCAAAGCACAGCCACGTCACGCATCGCCACCGCCTCGCCCACCGTTTTGCAGCAGCAGAACGACGCCTTCTGGCTGCGGCCCTCACCAGCCTCAGCCATCGCAACCCTGGCTTCATACCTCAGCCCACTTGTCTTGCGGACATGGATGTTGGGGGGCAGGCTGCTGTGGCTGGCCGCCCTGCCTACTGCCTGCTCACTGTCCGCCAAGCCAGCGGATGGGCTCAGCAGGCTCAACGTCGAATGCACATCTGTTCCAGCCGTGCTGGTGCCGGTGCTGGTGCTGGTGCCCATAACGGTGACATCGCTGGGGGCAGCTTGCACAGCAACCTGCCGCCGACGCCTGCTGCTCCTGCGCACTCCGGCTGCTGCCTCCTCCTCCTCCTGCTGCAGCCTGCGGGCAAGCAGCTCATCGCCAGCTGTGTCCTGAGCTGCTGCCACTGCAGCTGCCTGAGCAGAGGGGGCTGGCTCAAGCTCAGCAGCAGCGAAGAGGCTGCTGCGACTTGTGCCCCCGGCTCGGCTGCCGCTGCCACCGGCTGGTTCCACAGCAGCAGTGCCACTTTCGGCAGCGCCGCCTGGGTCAACCACATACACCTGCAGCAGCTGCACCAGGTCTGCCAGGCTGCAGTGCTGCAAGTCCTCCTCCTCGTCCGCTAAGGTGTAGCCATCCTCATACCCAAAGCCGGCAGCCTCTGCAGTTGAGGCTCCTGGCTGGTGTGTAGGCGGCCCGCTGCCGCCGCCGCCGCCGCACCCGAGCTTGCGCCTCAGCAGCTGCGCTGCCTCGGCGGCTGCCTCGTGGCTGCGAAAGGGCCCCACTCGCCACTGGCGTTGCTGGGGCTTCTGCTCCTGCTCGGGCTGCTCCCCCACGCCTGCCTTCGCCACCCACAGCCCGCCCTCCTGCAGTACCTTAACGCTGGGCTGCTGCATCGTGTTGTAAGGCCTTCACAAGCACCCAAGAACCGGCCTAGGTTTAGATCCTCTGGGGTTTATCCAAGAACTTACACCTAGTCACGTTCAACCTGGTGGAAAGGACGTTGGTTGGCCTCCTTACTCCCCGCTGACAGACTAGGTATCCCTCATTTATTGCGCTGTCGACTTATCCTTGGATGCGACCTAATCAAGCAGGGCAGCAAACATCAAGCATGTGGCCCCTCTTCAGGCGCCCACCCCACAATCGCCTTCAAGCCGTGCGCCGCTCTGCTGTTGCCGCCTTCATGAGCACAGCGGCCGCCGGCCACAGGCCAGCCTGGGACAGCAGCAGCCCCATCGTTTCATCCTGCTCCCGCTGCGCCTCCTGCTGCGCCACCAGATAGCTGCCCACCAGGTGCGGCGTGAGGCCCGCGGCCGCCGCCCCCGGCTGGCTGGCAGCGGCAATCAGGTGCTGCACCATGCGGTGGTGCCTGCTGCTGCGGCCGCTGCCGTTGTCCCCCCTGCTGCCAGCTGCCAGTGCTGCTGCTGGCTCGCCACTTGGCCCTGCCGCCTCACGGGCCATGACAGCAAGAGCAACGGCACCGGTGGCGGCCTCTGCCGCACCCTGGGCTGCCGGTCCTGGGGTGCCTGGGGTGTGGCGAGCCCGCTTGGAGCGCTGCTGAGCCTCAGCCTCGGCGCCATGCCTGCCCAACTCAGGCAGAGCGGCAGCCTCTGCGGCTTCCACCTCTGCACCACTGCTTCTGTCGACTGCGCCGCTGCCAGAAGCACCATCACGGGCGCATGTGTGTGCAGCTACCGCCGGTGCCGCTGCTGGCTGCACGTGCCTGATGGGCGCTGCCCCCTTCCTCTTGCTCCTGCTACTGCCTCTCGGCTGAGGCTCCCGCTGCTGGTTGTCCTCCCCATGCTCTGCTGCCCCCTGCACGGCCTGTTGTTTCCCCAGTACTTTCTGCTCCACAGGCACCCCCTGCTGCTCTTGCTGCTGCCCCTCCTGCCACTCCGCAGCTAGCTCTCGCAGCCTGCCGCTGTCGCGCAGCTGGCGGGCCAGCCCTCGCAGCTGCTCGTGGCTGGAGGCCTGCCGCAGCTTCTGCTGCAGCTCGACATCGGCGTTATACCTGCAGGGAGGCAGCCAGCTCTGTCCGAGTATGTAGGACAGTGCTTAACGCCACACACCAAGCCTTTCGTGGCAACACCCCAGGCCCGCAAGCTCACCTTGAAGCCGGAAGAAAGAAGGCCACTGTGCGAGTCTTGGAGGGCTCGCGCCCCTGCATGCGCCGCCACAGCAGCCCCACATCGCGGAGAACGGCCGCCTCGCCCAGGGTTGCACATAGGGCCAGCATCAACTCCTGGCTGCGCTGGCCTGGCATGGTGACATAAAGTCTGGCCTGGTACCTGTTCTTCCCCTTGTCCGTGTACTGGATGCCGGGCAGCTCGCGCGCGTGGCGGCAGCCAGCCTTGGCCTTGGCGTTGCTGGGCGCCGCTGCTGCTGGCTGCTTCTCCTCCTGCTGCAGCTGGTTCAGCTGCTGCTCTCTGCCAGCATCGCTCCCCTGTCCGGGGCCAGCGGCGGCCACGTCTGTCGGTCGGACAGCAGCGTGCGGTGTGTGCGGGGGCCTAGGTGCGGCGCAGCCAGGTGTGGTGGTCACCGCATGCTCCTGCAGCAGCCCCACCAGCTCTGCCAGGCTGACCTGCTGCAGGTCCTCATCCACCTCTTCGTCTGACACGCAGCCAGCCTCTGGAGCCGCCACCCCTGGCTGCTGTGCGGGCAGCCCGCTGCCGCCGCCGTCGCACCTGAACTTGCAGCGCAGCACCTGCGCTGCCTTGGATGCTATTGCCGGGCTGGGGAAGGGGCCCACTCGCCACTGGCGCTGCTGCTCAGGCTGCTGCTGGGGCTGCTCTCCTGCCTCGGCCTCCACCATCCACAGCCTGCCCTGCTGCACCACCTCAACCCTGGGCTGCTGCATTGTGCTGGAGGACCTTGGAGGGTGCCTGCTGCCAACCAAGGGCATCGCTGGGTCAAGGTTGGCCAGGTAGAAAGCTGGCGTACTGGAAAGCAACGAGAACGACTCCCTCACCCCCCTCACACCAGTCCTTGAACGTCGCCACCTGCATGAGAGTGACGGCCTTACGTCAGGGTGGGGCAGCAGCACGCTGTCGGCGCTCGTGTTGGCGCTGGTGCTGCAACGCAGGGCCTCATATTGGGCGAGCCTGCCAAGTGCAGCCACCGCAGACAGCATCTTGGGACCGGCCAGTGTTTGGGTGGGGCGGACGTGGGCGGAGCGGGGCGTGGGCGGTCGCAACTGCAGCAAGTGCGGCACTGGCGCAGGGCGGCTGCGCTGCCCTCCCACGGCCGGCGGTCCCTTGGTTGGTTGCGGCTCCTCTCAAATGGCGGCTACAGCTGCAAGTCCGTGCTCACAAGGGGGTGGGGACTGACCACGTGGGCAGTGGTGGAGCAAGGTTTGCCCGCTGCACGCCCATTGGCTTTCAAGGCGACAGGCTGCTGTCCAACCCACCGCTGTCATTCTCAGCAAGCGCCTAGCTGCTCCGGCAGCCCTCGCCGGAGGGCCCATCAGCAGGGAGCAGGCGCCATGACCTTGAAGGAGAGGGTGGATCGGTAAGAAGCAGGGGAGCTCCTGCTGCACCAGCACTGCAACATCAGCAACAGCAGGCGGGGGCTTGCCCTTAGGGCTTTGGCCGCTCACGCCCCCGCTGCAAATTGCCCTGGGTCCCAGTCCCAGAGCGCACTGGCCCGAAGCACAGGCAGCGGCGGAGCAGCCGGTGGCCTCCGCTGTTGCTACCTGCCCGCCGCCGCCGCCGCCGCCCTTGCACCACGCCGCCGCCGCCGCCGCCGCCGCCGCCGCCGCCCTTGCACCACGCCGCCGCCGCCGCCGCCGCCGCCGCCGCCGGCCTGCCTGTGCAGCTACTTCAAGGTGTCCGAGCGCGGCTCCAATGTGGGGCGGGAGATCAAGTCGGGCGTGGTGACCTTCATGACCGCCAGCTACATCCTGCTGGTGAACCCACAGATCCTGGGCCTGGCAGGTGCGCACGCCTGTGCCTGCCGGCGCCCTCGGCGGCGGCGGCGGCGGCGGCACACTCGCGGCATGTGTCCGCGGCAGCAGGCTGCCCCTGCCTTCATGTGGCACCCAGGGAACAGAGCGAGGCAGCGAGGCAGCGCCGCAAGGGTAGCCTGAACACAGGGCCCTGCAGCTGGCCCTGCCCTGCGCACCCCGCATGCTGCCTACAGCGCCGTCCCCTGCGCGGATCCCTCCTCCTCGTCCCCCCCCCCACACACCATGCAGGCCTGCCCGTCAAGGCCGTGGTCACCGCCACCGCCCTCTCCTCCATGCTCGCCTCCCTGCTGTGCGGCCTCATGTCCAACCTGCCCGTCGGCATCTCGCCAGGCATGGGCCTCAACGCTTACCTGGTGTTCAGCCAGGTGACGCCCGGCGGCGCATGGCAGCAGCAGCAGACGTCCCGGCCCGTGGCCCCGCCTGCCTGCTGCAATTGCCTGCTCCAGTTTTGGTGGGCCCTCTCGTGCTGCTGCCCCATGCGCCTGCCGGGGCGCCACCTGCGGCGGCCCCTCCCTCCCTCCC